ACAATTTTGAGTATTAGTAGTGTTAAGAAATATGGAGGGTTTAAATAGGAGATTTTGGGTATACCACACGAATTTGATGCATTTATATATTAAGCTCCTAAATGTCACAGTACTGCATGATATACTACATAATATTGTGAGAAAATATGGATGACTAAACAAAGAAAACAATGAACAATTAAGGAGATAAAACGACACAAAACTCTAAAATCTCATGAACAAAATCTCAAAAGACTATCAGACACAAACCATCCAAGACTGAAGCAAAAGCAAACTCACATGAAGCAAAAAAATAGTCTTAGAGATAAGGTAAGCTCACTGGTAGGGAGCAAGTGAGAGAGAGAACACTTCACTTGTAGTGAGTGAGACAAATCGAAGATAACCTAGATAAATGAACCACAATCATATAGAGAAGATACTGAAACGGTGGAACCGTGTTGCCCTAAGAAGGTTTATCGCGAATATGGTGTGTCATAATCAAAATAATGGAGGGATGAATCTAGTAACAAATCATAACAAAATTATTGAACACATCCCACCACATAGCAGGGGAAAAAGTCGAGTGTCGCGAATTTATGACACATTTTCTCTCTCTCGCAGATGTCTTCCCCGCCCTACATAGCTAGACAGTGTGTTCAGAGAATGCACCATCGAGGCATCGCCGGCCCAAATGAGACCAAAGACCCACATGTCATTTTATTGGTGCATAGATTTAAGATTTCAGTTATATTAAGCCAATTTCAATTGAAGATTCATACTTTTCTTTATAAGAGTTTATGGATCCAAAAACAACCAACTTTATTGGTTTTTAATTAATCTTTTTATAATAGATTGATTCTTTATTCAAATCTCAAAAGATCTTATATATTATTTATTTATATCTTTAAAAATAAAATATAAAAAATAGGCATAAAATATAAATATAATTTATTGTAAGAATATAATTGACAATAAGAATATAATTTATAATGCTATATAATCATATAAAATTTATGATATATAAAGTTAAAAAATTTAAAATATTTTTATTTTATTTTCATCTTATGCAGCTCATCTTATCTTTTCCAATTATTCACTTTCGCAATCTAACTTTAATGTAAGCATAATGGCAATTTTTTATTCGCACAACATAAGGAAGAGTTATTATTGCATAGTAAATAGGTTTCCCTTTTATTAATTTATTATTATTATTTTTTTATAGCTGATAACTCATTTGGATGATGGATTATGCCATGGATTAACTTGATTGAGCTCATAGTAATTTGATTTAAAATTTTTAATTCATGATTATAAGTTTTACTTATTGTTAATTATATACTTAATTGTTTAGAGAAAATCATAACAATTATAATGAGACTTTAAAGTGATAGGAAAATGTCATTTTGACCTGCCCCTACAGTGTCAATGGTGGCCATGATTGGTAATTAGGGGTGCAAACGAGATGAACACGAGCGAGCCCAGACTCAGCTTGTATTCAGCTCGTTAAAACATAACACTGTTTGTATTCGACTCGTTTATATTTTAAACACAAAAAATGAGACTGATTTGCTTAGCGAGCCGAACACAAGCTATTCACAAACAGAGTCGTTTTGACAACTCTAGTCATGCAGCCAAGAATATTAAGCGTTAGGGTGAGATTTTAATCTTATTATTTATATTAAAACATCATTTAAATATAATTTAATATATATATATTTTATTTTTTTAATCCATAATTTTAATTGATTATAAATCTTTATAGTTTTGCTGTCAGTTAAATTTTTTAAAAATATATATTATATCAAACAAAAAAAATATTCGTGTTTGGCTCGTCAGTTAGCGAATGAATTGAGTGGTTTTAAAATTACTCGAAATGATCAATTTTAGGTGTTTTAAAAATAGCTCGAGTTATTGTAAAAGTGAATACATATCTAAACAAAATAAATTAATGAAATATATTTTAACAAATAAAAATGAAAGTAAATAAAATTCAAAATAGATCTTTTAGGTGCACCTACTTCAGCTAACTATTTTTTTTTTTTTTCATTCTAGTGGACTCATGCACCAGCTTTAAAGAAAATATTTCGTCTCATATTAGGTTTTAGTCTTATTTATTTATTTATTTTTATACCTTTCAAGTGGCCACGCTTCGCACGTTGCCGAAGGATTTAAATCCACGTGCTAAAAATGATATAATCGTTTTTTTTTTGTCAAAAAAATATAATAAATGGGCATGCTAGACCGTGGTTGCCTCCACGCCGCACGCCTCTCCTTTAATAAATTAAAGATATGTTTGGGGCAGCTTATGCGTTTCAGGATAAGCTGCTTATCCTGAAACGCGGCCTGCGGGCCGACTGGATGGTTTTGGTTTGACCCGCAGCTTGCGTTTAGTGTAAAAACTCAAACGCAGTTTCGGATAAGCTGGTGAAACGCGCGAACCAAACATCCCGCACTTATAAGCTGCCCCAAACGGACCCTAAATATTATTATTATTATTAAAATATCAAATAATGGTAATATATTAATTTTCATATTTTTAAATGTGAGCCTTAATTTTAATTTGGATGGATAAGTATCCTTAAATAGATTTAACAGGGCAAGAATTAGATATATATATTTATTTTTATTAAAAAAGCGTTGACTAATTTTTATTTATGTCGCATCTAATTTAACTCTTAGTATAATTACTTCTAGGGCTCAACTCCTTAATAAATAAAATACAAAAATACAAAAAAAAAATAAAGAAATAAAATAATAAACTTATTCAAAAAAAATTTCAGTACAAAATTATGTTAAAATAAAATGATGTAAATTATATGAAAAGAAACTTTAGGGTTGCAACTACTTACCCTAACTTTTCTTTTTCTTTGCCTAGAAATTTATTTGGTAAAAATTCACTTGCCAAATAGAGAGAAAAATGGCAATTATATCCATGCAATTTCATCATCCAACACAAAGATATCATTATTCATATGATTTTACAAATACAAATACATTTGAAAAAAAAGTAGACAACAACTACATGAGACCATCTAAACAAATTAGGCAATTATATTTCTATTTGATATCACTTATACTTCTTTCTTTAATCTAACTCCTCATTTTTATTTCTTATTGCTCTATTTTATTACTTGTGGGATAGAAGCTATTATATATGAAAGAGTAGCTTTGTTGTAAAGCCTTTATAAGCTTTGTCTGAGAATTTATGAAGTCAAATTTTGACCATTTTCTCATTAATCATTTTGAAATGTATGCATCCAATTAAAAGGCTAAGTATACAAATAATGACCATTTAGACAAAATAGGATGTTTCGTTAAATTTCTTCTGCTTATTTTAGTTTTAACTTCAATCTACCATTAAAATAGATAAAAATTAAAGAACTCCTCTAACACATAAATATTCATAGTCTAACATTTAAGGGTTGTTGAACTAAAAGCTTAAAAAAGTCATATTTGCTAGTAGTAATGATTTTATCCATAATAAAAATTCAATGCTTAAAATTTTTACTACATTCAATGGTTAAAATTACTATAACTCCTATGCAATGGTTAAAGATATTGTACATTAATGCATTGTAGAAAGACTCCCATAAAGATTTTAGAACCTTTCTCAAAGGAAATTTTTGTAGATAACAATTACAAAGGTTTAAGAACAATTTTGGAACAATGAAAACATTTATTTTAAAGTTATGACTGTTATAAAGCATTTTTTAGTCACATAAGAGATGATACAACATAAATTCTTAATTTTTATCATAAATGAAATGATTGATGAGCTGTACAGATCCACACTCTAATTTAAACTTTATCCTCACACTTTGTATCATCAATTACAAATGGAAAATGAAGATATCCATAAAAATCAATGTCAAACATACTATAATAAGACTTTTTTGGGATACAATTAGTTAGAAAGTTGGTTGTAGAGAACATAAAGTACCTAAGTTGATATATTTTATAGTTAACTGAGGAGAGTAATCTTAGTATGAAGATATAAGTTAATAAAATTGACATAAAATATCTTCATCCAAATTAAAGATGACAAAAGTTGGGACCATAATAATTGAAAATTAGGATACATCATGAAAATTAAATAATAGTGATAATGATATAAGAAATTGAATGTGTGACAATAAAATAGGTTGTATGTAAGACCTGAACTATTGTAAGAGCATTTGAAGATATATAACGATAATTCTTCTACCATCATAAGGACTATCACAATAGATGGCATGAGTGTAATAGAAAGCGGTAGCTAGAATAATATTAGGTTTTGGAGGTTGAGTGCCATTTAGTTGAGGAAAAGAACAGTGAGCAATTAACTGTGTGTTTGGTTGCAAGTTCAACTAGGGTGATGATTGGCTAGAAGTTTGATTTGCAATACTCACAAAAATTATTTTTATTTTCACATTTTTCATTCATTAATTTACCTACTTTTACTTCCTTCCAAAATATTGTTTCTACAAAAAACATTTTAAAAAAATCTACACAAATTAATACAACATCATTACTAGATAAAGTAGAATAATAGGTTTTTTTCAAATAAATGTGAACTAAACTCTCAAAAACCTTTCTAGTGCACCTATGAAAGTAAATTCAAGAAAATCTATTATATAAATTATTTTTTTTTTCTAAGTGCACATATAATTAATTTGTCTACTTTCCTCTTCACATGAATAGCCTTGAGAAACTCTTTTCTCATTTGAATGTTTGAGCTCACAACCCCTCTATTAATCTCAATTGTAATTGATAATATAGCCATGCATCCATTGATGCTCACCTTATTGCCACTAAAAGCCTTCATCCGCCACACTACCATGGTTACTATTGCCTCCCTCAATCCCCAAACATTAAAATGGCTTTCTAACTTCAATTCTTTTCTTTTTTTTTTCATTGCACATTACATCTTTTTGTGAAAATTTCTATGAATTATCAAAAACATTTACATAGATTTTTACCACCATGGTTTATATATTCGAACATATTATATATAGTTTAAAAAACAAATTGAAAGCTAAAAATAATAAAACCAAACCAAAATCACACCACGATATTTTATTTAGTTGAAAGCATTCTTCAGTGGATGTTTGATTCATAAAGCTTTCCTACATCACATGATTATATAGCATGATGATCATTTATTGTCACATACCAAAAAGCTCAAGCCATTTCTACAAGTTAGAGCTTGAACATGACCTTAATTGCATTGCCCCCGCCAGCACTAACTTTAAATGCTTCCTCAACCTCCTTCTGAGAAAGCCCAAATCGATGAGTTATCAAAGGCTTCACATCAATCTTCCCAGTTCTCAGCAATTCAATGCACAGTGGCCAAGTCTCACTTTTGTACCGAAATGCACCAATGACATCAACTTCTCTGCTTAAATTGTAATTCCATTAAAAAAAAAACATATCTGTTAATAACATTTTTTCTTCAAAATATAAAGTTACCTTGATGCTACAGCTGGAGTAAGAGGTAAAGTCAGGTCATTATGGCCCATTCCAACAAGGCAAACCTTGCCTCCGGTTCGAGTAGCATTCAAAGCAGTCGACATTGTTTTGCTAAAACCGGCACAATCGAAGGTTACATCAATGTTAGAACCCATAGCCCTCTGTATGAGCTCCACTTCCTCATCTAAGTCCTGCAATTGTGATATGCATGAAAATTGAGCTATCAGATCCTATCAACTTTCCACCATCAAAAAAATGTATATCACTCTTCCAATTGTTGCAACAATAGTAATGAAAAAAAACAAAGCTTATGCATAAATAATCTCAATGGAGATGGAGGCTAAGAAAAGTATATCACACCGCTGCACCAAACACCCCCTTATCTATTCTTCACCAATATTGATGATAACTTTACTTAATTTTTTTTGTGGAATAAGCTAAAAAAGGAATGGAATTTGAGCAAAGCAAAACAAGAAAGTTTCAAACCTTAATGTTTGTAGAAACCTTGACAGTGTCTTCAGCACCCAGTGATTTTGCAGCAGAGAGGCGGAGTTCATCAACATCCACTGCAATAATTCTTGGAGCTCCATAAGTGCGAGCTGTAAACATTGTGAGTAATCCAATGGCTCCAGCTCCAATGATGAGCACATTTGTCTCTGGACTAATATTAGCTCTCCTACAAGCATGCACTGCAACACTAAGGGGCTCACATACAGCCCCCTCCTCCTATAGCAGAGTGCAGCAGGATGGATCAACTGCAGAAATAAAAAAAATATTTGAAAAAGTTTTCTAGTATTGAATCGCTATTGATTCTCCATAGTAAGAGAAAAGATTAACTAATTGTGTTTCAATTCATGAAAACTTTATTAGAGGATAAGGCCTGTGAAATTGGCCCTAAGATCGTAAAAGTTTTAGCTCCGATCGAAATCGGATTGAATCATTCGAGCCGAGCTACGGGCCAAATTAAATGATAGAATTAATTTTGATCCGTCCTCGGCTCTGATCGATATCAGATCGGGATCGAAATAAACTCTTATGAATTTACATATCTAACAGCAAAACTTTTAGTTTTACATGTATAATGCATTGTCCGCTTGGTTGGTGAGGGATTTTTCATTTTAGCGTAGTGTCAAGGGTTCAAATCTCCTATTTGCATAAAAAAAATTATTTTTAGTTGGTGGGCGGGCCAAAGCAGGTTCCAGCCAAACTGATCTAGCTTGACATTCGAGCCAGCTAGTTTACCATTCGAGCTGGCTAGAAAATCGGATCGATCCACACCGAATCAAATCTAAATTTAGTAGGATCGATTCAAGATCCGGTTAAAAAAATTTCGATCCGATTTCGGAAATGGTTAAACTGAAAAAAAAAGTTAAAAAAGAAATTATATTACCGATTTATGGAACTAAAGAGGTTATATGAACAAGAGTGGCTAATAATGAACCTGATTAGCAAGAGCACCATGCACTGGAGGAAGGCCTAAGCACTTGGTTTCATCACACAGATTATTGCGTCCAACCTTGCAATGATAGCAGCGCCCACACATCAATCCAGGGTCCAGAGCAACACGATCTCCCACAGATACATTTTTCACTTCACTTCCCACCTCTTCAATGATTCCGGACGACTCATGTCCAATCACCATGGGTTCTTTGATAACAAAACGAGTCATTGTCATGGTCTATGGTGAAGCAGGAAAAATATCAGATAAATATTCAGTATGTGTGGATGAATTATGGGAATTACATCTAAACATTGAAAATGAAATACGAGGAGGAAATGTAAAGATATTTCATGAAGATTAAAGAGGTAGAGAGAATAAGAAAATTTAAACCTTTAGGTAATGGATATCGGTGCCACAGATGCCAACGGCTTTTATGCGCACACGAACGTCAGTTGGACCTGAGAAATGGCGAGGAAAATATATGTGAGAAAGAAAGTAATAGAAGTAATATACATCAATGACATGTATAAATTAATGCAATTATTTGACTAATCTTTTTAGGGGCTAGTAAAATCTTATGATCCTTCTTTTATAGGCTATGCTAATCTTTTTTGTAACCTTATCATACATTTGTAGTTAAATTTAAGTTACTTTACTATCATAATTAATATAAGGGGATGGGATTTTCATCCTATTAAAAATAAGAAAATGGATTGAAGAGTGGGAAAATCATTCTATAAAGAAGATTTCCATCAAAACTAAGATGACCTCTTATTTATAGTCTTGTAATTGAGAAAAGAATTAAGTTAGTAGATCAATAACAACATTTTCTCCACGACCACACCACATTTTTGTAGTATGTGGTTGCATTATCCATAAATTCTTCAATTAGAAAAATTGAAATATCCATCATTATTTTCAACTTTGCATGAAGTTTAATCTCTCCACGTACTCTTTTCAATGCTTGATGAATTACATGATCTATTTATAATCATATATGTGGCTAGCTTACTAAATAAATTTATATATCTTTTATTTTTATTTTTTATTTTTATAGGGTTTATTTATTTATTATCATCTGCTTTTGTCAACACTGTTTTAGCTTAGCTAATATTAGATGATTGGTTTATAGCACTAAAAAACTTGATGATGGAAGATGGAAAAATTAAAATTTTGAAAAAAATGATATCTAAAACAATTGAGTTATAAAAGATAGACGTAGAGAACTACCATGAGTGAATAAAGACATTAATCTATCATGAAAAGCTGCAACTATTATTCAGAAAACATTTGTGCAGAATTCACTTATCACTCAATATGAACATCACATAAAAAAAAAAAGAGAATATTGCTTTCAATATGTTTAGTAAGATTACCACAATATGCTTCATGAAAGTGGCTTTAAAAATGTATAGAAGTCCTCTGCAACCAATAAAATATATAAAAATAAGTTTTTGGGCATTTACATAAAAATCTTGTTTATTTACATATCTCACACATAAACTTTCAAATTAAATACATAACGCTCAAATCTTTAATCTCTCAAATCAAAGATAGCACTATTATCACTTTTTAAAAGTGAGGTACACATTTTACGCATAGTTTTGAGTACCAAGTGCTATGTATGTAAATATGAAAGTTTAGGTGTGAGATATGTAAAAAAAAAAAGAGCCTTTATTTTTTTGCAATTCCAATATGACAAATGAAACTCTATTAAACAACCACATTAACAAGATTAGCTCAATCATTAGATGGTTAAACCATTTGAACATCATGTTTAATGATGAGGAGCATGATTTCAAGTTAGTTTCGTTGTTATTAGAAATCTAGGATGATGATGTGATGGTCATTACAATTTATTATGTACCTCATTCCATATATCTTAGTCACATCAAAGATCTCAACCAATGTGAGATTAGTAGTTGATGCAAAATAAATGAGAGATGAACTCCTTTTTCTTATATGTTAATAATAGTAAGAAGCTGTGAAGTAAAGGAATGAAAGGAAAAGGCCACCAAAATCATTTGCAATAATTGAATCATAACAAAAGCAAGCCTTGAGAACACTTAAGTGGATGTTGGTATTTTGGAAAGCCAAATCACATTATATGAGAATCCAAGAACAAGGATATAAATTAGATTGCAATATTAAGTAAAAGACAATGAATATAACCATAGCAACATACTCAATATGCATTGATTCTATGTACAAGCATTCCAATGTAAACATGGATATTTAACTCTAGTGTAACTTTTTCATTCTTTCCTAAAAAATAATCTATTTACAAATATTTAAAATATCTAATTGTAAAATACCACTTTCAATGCTAATACTTACAAGCTGATGACAGATGTCACATTGATTATTCGGGAAAAGGTGACAAATACTCTTTATACTATCGCCAATATAGAAAAATAAGTTAGACCATAAAATTGAAAAAAAAAGACAAGATAAATTTAATAAGTTGAAGTCAATGAAGCAAACACAAGCAAGTTTTATTTTAAGTCCGTATATAGGCAATAAGTAAAGATAAATAGTTATAATTGGAGCTTATATGTAAAAGGGGCATTACAAATTATTCTTTTTAAGAACTATTGTACTATTTTCCTTCATAAACCATAATAGTAAAATGGTATAATTTTGTTTGATAAAAAATAATGTAACATATTTCAACTGTTTTTTAGTGGAAAAGCCCACTAGCAAAGAGAAATTAGCATAGAATCAATTATTTGCGATCAAACAAATGTGTGGAGTATGAATCCATATAATTCAAAAGCTAACACATAAATTATAAGATCCATATATAGAGACAAATCTTTGAAATTTCATAACAAAATAGTGTGTTTAAGAAGACAAATATAACTCTAATTGATTGTTTATGGATCATTAAACTAGGTAGATGTGGTGGACACAACTTCTTTAATTAATAATGACATTTAGATGCTTTTAAGTTGGGGCTTCATAAGGAAGCAAATATCGACAACAATTTATGTTTTTAAAATTTGAAGCTTTTCAAATTCTTATTATAAGTTTATACTAGTCACATCTCCATACACTGAAAAAAAAATTTAAAATCCAAAAATTGTTTGTTCATTTTATATGAGATGAGTTCAGCTATAAATTTTGGTATATTAAACCAAGAACAAAAATATTACCTTTATAAAAAGCATACTATAAAAATTAGACCAAGTTATTCTACTAAATAAATCATAACTCTATAATATGTTTAAAATAGAGAAGATGACATAAAATGTCATAAGAAACTCAAAAGAATTTTTAGTCTGGGACACTTGTAACTTGAGTCAAAAAGTAAAAAAAAAAATCTATAAGCTGATCAGAAAAAAATCTTCATTTCATTACATATTTTCTTCAAATCTTAAAGTTACTTGGAAAGGCATTTATTAAAAGTGTTTAACATGAAATACTTTGAGAATGCTAAAGCTATTCTTAATTGGAGAACATGTCAAAATAATATCATAGTTATCTTAATTATTCTAATTTAATTAAAATATATTGAAAAATATTAGAAACGTTGGACGTGATAGAAAAAAGTTATGAGTGCATTACTAACAACTCACTTCAAACAAAGGAAAAAAATCCTAAATTAAGGAAAAAAAAGAATCAAAATTTACTCAATTCAAAAATTTAATCTTCCTCCATCCTCAACTCCATTCACAATTCTATACAAGAGAGAAAAAAAGGATTTATTTTGCTACTTGCAAGGGTATTGGGCTTCTTTAAGTGGAATGAGGTATTGATAATCTTAGTTTAGGAAGAAGAAAGCTTGTGGCCTTAGCAATGATAAGCTCTCATTTTGACAATTAACAGAAAGAAAATATTAAAGTAACCCCAATAGCAATAATTTCTTCATCTTGATGAACATAACTCATATTTCAAGAATGGGGCTGCATTATCTATCAACTATTAAATTTTAAAATAAAATATATCTTCTTCCATATTCTTCACTTTGAAGAAAGTATGATATTTTCAGATACTCTTTTTAGGCTTAATGGATTACTTGATCACAATGTGATCATGGACGTAGATGGATCATAACTAACCATATAAACTTGTATGACCTTTTATTTATTTATTTTGGATTCATTTCCCATTCATATGTTTAGCTCATTATTATTTTGGTATGAAAATTAGCAGTAGATCTTTACTTTAGAAAGCTATCATAGTTGAGCTCGGATGATGATAGTATCAAATTCAACAATAATTGTGATTGAAGTGGATTTTTAAAAGATGGATATAGAGGGAATATTTTTGAGTTAGATTCATCAACTAAATTAGAGAGAAAATGTGCATTTATTGATTATGAAGAGACAGAGTTAATGTTCAAAAAATAACTAAGTATTATTCATATATATGCTAGATGAATAATACATTCAATATTTTAAATAAGACCACTATGGTATACATAATGAAGACAAATTTTCACATTTATATAAATCAAGTTTGACACTAGATTCACTCATTATTTTTTTTTTTCAATGCTATCCAAAAGTTAAGATAATATTCCTTCAACCACTAGTATTTCTTATGTGTTATCCTCCATAAAGTTTTTCATCATCAGAGTTCTTGCATTTTTCTATTTTAAATGTTAACTATAAGAAGAAGTTGTAAAATATAGGCATCAAAATTTATTAATTCCTGGCTTTCTTAAGATAGTTATAAATTTTGTGTTAATTTTTTAAAAGGCATATTGAATTTTAAATAAGATATTTCCTAATAATTTTGCATTCACATTATCAGAAATTTATAAATTGAAATCAGTTATTTCATTGGCACAAACTCTTATGATTAATCACGTTTCTTGATCATGAGTGGAAGTTATTGCTTAAGGCTTATAACTAAGTGTTTTTGGGTTTATTAGCAGCTATTCTTTTTTTGAACTAAAAAAAATACATCATCTTGAACATAAATCACATGATAGAAAAATGATGAAAACTCATAAAATATATCACAATTGTATCATCACGGGTTATTATAAACCCTAATCTATTTAATTGAAGGATATAATCACAATAATTGATCTAAAAATTCTTATCAATTGTAAAGTTAAGAATAATATTTGCCTAAGGATAAATTTCAAGTTGATCTTAACCAACGAAAAAATTTATTCCCCATTTAATGTATTATGCAATTCCCTGTTATTTCTGCAATTTGAGAACTTATAAGCTTTTGTTGAGATCATTATTTAATGCAACCATCTTGCAATGAACCAGCCTATCAAAGGGCCCCAGTCATAACTATTTGATAGCAAAATTATAAGTCATAAAAAATCTTTTGTATCTATTCTGATGTGATATCTTTGAGAGTGAACATAGAGATAAACTCGACATAACATTGATTCTTCACTAGATAAAACCATCTGAATTTTGTTTCCCTCAATAAATTGGTGTAACTAATGAATAATTAATTACTTCAAGCTTTAGGAGATAAATTTAGGGAT